AGCAGAGGATTCATCTGCCAATTCTTTGAGCTGTTCTCGCAGGCACACGTGTGCAGCGTCTGTAACACTCGCGGGCGTGGACAGACACGAGAGCGTTGAACTGCGGGCGGGCTACTGACGTACCGCAATACCATTAAATGCGATTGCAGGAAGCGCTCCTGCTCTAATGTTGCAGATCAGCGACTGCTGGGATGCTAAGGGAAGTCGGAGGGAGCAAGTGTCTACGTCAGTAATTGATCAGGGTTTGTACCGAACCTCGACGTACCTCACATTACTCCCCGTGGATTTTGTTATTGGTTTTCTGATACACGTTTCTGACCTAGTAGCTGCCATGCCGAATTCAACTCATGGAAAGAATCCTTGTATTCATGGGAAATTCGTTCTCTACTCTATTAATTGGTAAATGATAAAGATGATTGAGCGCTTAGATATTAGCATCAAAATGACACATAGACAAAACACACTGGTAGATCTTTTCTAAGGAAAAGAAAACTTGTGATTCTTTTTTACTTTCCGTATACATACGTATATACGGAGTAATATGAAGTATATACGCAATATACGTAGTATATGGAAAGTTATGTAATACTGCGGAAATATCGATTTCAACATTTCAACCGAAATTTACGTTTTGGAATCCCCTGGTACTAAAATATGTTTTTTTCGTCAGTCTGTCCGTCCGTCTGTCTACCTGTTTGTCCCTCCGTTCGCTCGGCTCGAGTCGAAGCGTTGAGATTTTCAAAAACTTTTTTATACCTTTGGGGGTACTTTACATGAACACCACCGGATATTTTCAAAATTTTCTCAAAAGCGGTTCTAAAAATTTTTTTTTTAATTTATTTTCATAATGGAGTAACACACTTACAAAAGTGGTAAGGTCCCATTTTCACGGTTAGCCATAAATTTTCGAAAATTTCAAAATATGATTTTTTTGTATTTTCCTACAACTACAAAATTAAGGATATTAAGGATGAAGGAAATTAAGGATTTCCTTCAAATGAAATTCGCTGACCAGAATTATTTTTTTATTAATGTCATGTACATTTTTTGAAATTTTAGTACATTTCGCGCAATATTGCATGCAATATTTGCAATTTTAAAAAATTACAAAAACAAATTTCTCAAAAACAGCTCAAGGTTTTTTTTTCTTTTTTTGGTAGAGATAGTCCTAAATGATATTACATAATCGCCATGTTGATCTATTCTTTTTCTTCAAAAACGTAATTTATTTAACTTGCCTCTCACGTTAATATTTACATTAGGGTGAGTTGTTTGCATTCATGTGTATTCATGAGTACGTGTGCTATAAATAATTTCATATAAAGTTTCTCAAAAAATCAACCGTTTTCTGTTAAAACTAGCTAAAAATTCGGAATTTTCAGAAACGCTCAAAGCCAGTTTCTCAAAAACGGCTCAAAATTTCTTCTTCAAACTTTCCGAACGAATAGTGCCAATTGTAAGCTTTAACAGTGACATCAAGTTCATTACTTCTAGACTGTCCGGGTGACGCCGCGTCGTAGGCAGATAGGCCGAAGTTTCACCTGTCATGTCGCGGGCTTCTTCAGGGTAGTGACCAAGGCCAAGACCAGGGTTGTGAGAGGGCTTCTTCAGGGTGGTCACTACCCTGAAGAAGCCTGCGACATAACAGGCGAAACGTCGGCCTATCTGCCAACGACGCGGCGTCACCCGGACCGCCTAGAAGTAATGAACTCGAGCCACGGAAGCCTACGTGTACACATAAAGTTCATTTCGATTTTCTCTCTCTTTTTGTTTTTTGAAATTACAAAACTGTAATTTTTATGAAAGGTCTCTCACGCCGTTAATATGCACATTTGAAACATTTTGTAAACACTATTATATTTGTGAGATAAGGTGCTTTAAATGGCTTGTCATCAAGTTTCTCTAAAATTTTCCGTGAAAAAGATGTTGAAATTTCGAATTTACAGTATCGCGTGAGTGCCATTTTCTTAATAACGGTTCAAAGTTTTGCAAAGGATATTGTCATTTAGGACGGGGTTTTACTTTTCTTTAATATACTTAAAATAATACGTTCTTTCTACTATTAGGAAACCGAAAAATAAAGAAATTTTTAAAATATGTACTTTCGTCGGCGATAAATTGCAGCTGGCAAGAATATGTGGCCATTACGTATAACGAGCTGAGACTAGACATTCCCGTATTAGTTTTCTAATTCCTTTGGTATCGGCTAGCTCTTGCCTGCTGTCCTCTATCGCCGAAAATGTCGTTTAAGCGCTAACGGAAATTCTAATTTTGAAGCACTTTTTGACAGAATTTGTTTGAGTGTTTGAAAAACTTCAATAGAACATTTAATGCACATTAACTAACAAGTACAATAGTGTTCATAACTTGCTGGAAATGTCGGTATTACCGGTGTGAGAGATCTTTCAAAATATTTGTGTAATTTTTGAAAAAACACAAAAACGGAATGTACTTTACGTCATATAAAAGAGTGCAATTAGCACTGACCGTTCGAAATGTTTGTAGGAAAAATTGAAACCGTTTTTGTGAAAATAGCGTTTGAGCGTTTCTGAAAAAGCGAAAATTTGAGCTAGTTTTCAAAGAAAATGATTGAGTTTTCGAGAAGCTTTATATTACATTATTTAAATCGTGTGTACGTATAAATATAATGTGCACGAATTCAGTTGCGGTTATAAAATACTATTTATACCACAATTTCTCTCTAATTTGAAATCGTTGAACATGCAAAAAATTAGCAGAATACGAGAAAGTAAAATAATTCATAAACACTACGGTATTGTTAGCGTTGGCAAACAAATAGATTGAAAAATATATAATAGTAATTAAACACTATGGTATTGTAATATTATACAAAAAAATTAAAATAGTCGTTTTTATTGTCGCGAATAAAAGCAGCGATCATTGTCACCGTACTATCTGTACGGCGTTAAAACAATGGGTAACAACAACCAACAATGACTGCTCATCTATTCATTTTCACATGAATGCTATCAATATCTATTTCATAATTATTGCAAATAGGTTTTAAATAATTTCTAAAAGAGTAATTTGTAAAGTATAACACAAGTTCCACTGTAAGAATCGAACAAAGAAATATTAAATATAAAATAATATACACATTCAAACTTACGTAGCATTCAACTGCCTCAAAACACTTATAAAATTACTATCAAAAAGTGCAGGATTTTTTTGAATTGAATTGAATTTGCCTTATTTTACGTGGCGAGACTCGGGCCATCAGGCCCGCTCTTCCGTCTGACCACGCAAATTTCGCTCCTCTCCTTTCATCAACTAGCAGAGAAAAGAGGTATTTCTCGGGCGAGAAACAGGCGATTTGAATTTAGCTCAGAGGCGTCATTTAGGCTTGAGGATCTTTTACTTGCTAGTAAATCTACGAACATGGGACAGCCGGCTTTACTTACCCTCCGAAGGAAGGCGTACGAAGGATTTTGTCGCCCTAAAAATCCACGGCTTCGATCGGGTCTGAACCCGCGAGCTTGGGTATAAGAGTCCGATAAGGAGCTAACCGTCACACCATCGCCGCCCCCTATTTTGAGGAGGAGGCTAACTTTTACTCCAAATAACTCCAAAAATACTCATAGTTTCGAAAAATTCAACATGACCTTATTTTAATATATGTTTGTGATGAACATATTTCATTTGAAAATTTTTTATCAAAGTTGTAATTTTTTTCAATTTTAGAAAAGTCAGTGTTTTCAATCAACATGAGACATACACCATTTTCTTAAACGTCCTTCAGACTATCCACCAACAAAATTTCATAAAAAATTATGACTGTCGTTTTGGAGAAAAATATGTTGAAACAAAAATTAAAAATTTACTGTATTTCTCACAAAATTACAAAACAATTATTCAAATTTTTGAAAAATTGTACGCAACATGAGACCTGCACCATTCTCTTAAACGTTCTTCAGGAGACTGTCCAGTGAGAAAAATAATACTAATCAATGGAACAATTTTTTTTGAAAATTTTGAAAATCCGAGGAGCTTCATATAAAGTACTTCCGAAATTAAAAGCTATATTTTAAATTCAATGGTCCGCGACATCAGCCAGAACGATTATGGAATATGAATTTTGGAGAAAATTGGCTGAACGATTTAGCAGCTAACAATGCTCACAGACAGATAGACACACGTTTTGCGGTCAATCGATTTTTCGGTATCAAGGACCCCAAAAACAGGGATTCTGGCTACAACACGTGTTTGAATTTTTTCTTAAATTTATCAAGTGGATTTATCCACTTTTTCCTACCAGCACCCTGAAATAGAGTTTTCTGTCGAAAATTCGCCGTTTTTTCCCCCCAGAATTACATAACTTTCCTCCGTAAGCGCGCGAAAGTAAAATTGGAGCTATTTTGAAAATTGCACTTAGAGACGTCATTCATAACCCTCTAGTGAACAAATTAAATGATCAATTTGAAATTCAAGGTGCCGCGACATCGCCCAAATTGATCGCCCGAATTGATGACAAATTATTCTTATTCTCACATTTTTCTAATCCTGAAGTATCGCGTGTTCCAGCTAGTGTGTGATTTGTGCATATCGCTTTTCGTTTTTATAAGTTCATAAAGTCAAACAATAATTATTTCTCAAATATATTTTACATGATTTATTTTGTTAAATGTGTGATAGATATTGAATTTGTTTTGAGACGTTTGTATTTTACTTATCTATAATACGAAACAAAGAAAAAGTTTTGCACAAGAGCTTAAATTAGACTTTTCGTTGCATAAGATAATAAATTAACCTATGTTGTGAAATGTTTGAGAATTACTTATTCCTGTTCATTCGGATTCAAGCAGTTTCTACAACCCCGATATTTGATATGGGCGAATATTTCATATCACGCCCAAACAAATCTTGTGAAGTCCAATAGAATCGAATTAGCCAGCTTAAGAGAGAATTATGTTATGCTTTTTTATTAAAATATATTAAGAAATCGGTATTAGACAAACGACTTCACGAAGTGGTTATCGTACTTCCTTGAACATCTGTGCGCGCTTGTGGGCGTGGAAGGAAGATTTTTTTCGTGTTGGCCAAAGATTTCATTCTCTGTGAATTATGCCTCAGCCAAGATATCTTAAAAAAATGTAAAGGTATTATTATTATTGCTATTACTAATGTAGAATGTTTCGACGCGTTTCTTATTCTAGAAATACTTCCAATCATATTCGACTACCCAGCAGGAAAAGGAAAGAAAAATATTCTTTTCTGAGTAAGCAGTTCGATTTCTGCGTTAAGAGTTAAACCTGCTTTCCATTTCAAAACGCTATTTGACTTTTTTTCCTGTCGAAGAGGCAACCCTGAAGCGTGACTACTGTAACTTTAACTCCGAGTTATGTTATAAAATGTATAGAAACATACCTGTTGCCGACGTCCGCTGTCAGAAGAAACGTCAGAATGTGCGGCTTCCATTCCACATGACGGAGAATTGCTTCCGCAGAATTTCGGACGACTCTCGGGTGTAACTTTCGGGTAAAAACACAACGAACGCCCTATGCTCTCGCACAAGAGTAGGCTGTGCGTTCTCTGTTGGAAGGTCTTCCCGCGAGGCCGCAATGGAACGAGGCCTGTGGACCGCGAGCTTTTGTAGACGCCGCTTGGAGGCGGAAGAGCGCAGTCGCCGGCCAATGAATGAATGGAACAGAGGTCTCGCGCCCCAAAAAGTCCCTGCTTTGTTCTCTTGGCCCCTGTCGCACACATTTCCTGACAACGATAATTATCAGAATGTGATGCAGTGATATTTTCTGACATGACCTCACGAAACTCCAGACATGATTCATGAACATTATGCGGTTTGTTTGGAAACGAACAAAGTCCCTTCCGAATAATCGAAATCTTGTGAAAATATTCTTGTGCTTGAAGTTAACAAAAGGAAAATGTCTGAAAAGTTGCATATATTTAAACACATCATTACAAAATATTTTATTAAGGTAGTTCAAGTCCTAGATCCTTCAGTTGTTGAGCGCTTCCTTTCAGCTGCGGAAGTTGCTCACCCAGGATCAGTCCTTGTGAGCGAATAAAGTAAAATGGCAATTAGGTGATCACTAAATTTCTGACGCCAATATTTCGAAATTTACTGCGAGTCACTGGCGTAGCTACCGAGCGAAATAACGCCACTAATGAAAAGCAAGTGGCACTGGTCGCGAAGTGAATTCCAAGTATAGCATCACGAGATAAGAGTTCTTGGCGAACTCGCATTCTAATGTTATGTTCAAGTACTGCAACCGAAAGCCACACATTGTCAAATTTCGTTGTCGACTCTAACTACTATTGGAATATTTGATTGCTTGGCCCGAAAATCGAATTGTGAATTGCCGAATTTTGATGTTGCCACGACCCGTCACCCCGTCTTCACCCCAATAAAAATATGTCTCTGTGCGTTCGGAGTCCAGTGAATTACCGGTGCATCCAAAATATGGCCAAATGTCGGTTTGTCAATGAAAGACGTAATTTTCCCCGTCATTATTTCTTCGCAACGGCTACAAAAATCAACGTCCCAATCCCAACCCAATCACAGTGGATAAAGCAGATGATGCGAGGGTGGTTTACAATGCATATCGCCGCCCTGTCCTTCGTGCAGGTTCGCTGAAAGATCCAATCCTGCGCCTGTGTGAGCGACTCAGTATTCTTGCTGCACATCTTCAGGAAAGCTTTTCGTTATTTCCATATAAACATTAGAAACGCGCAAGTGGTGTGACTAAGGTGCCAGGTCCATGAACAGATCTAATACTCTGAAGGTCCAATGTAACAGGAGTCTATTGTGCAGTAGTCTAGTGACAGAAGGTCCAATAAGAGAAGAGATCTAAAATTAGGTCCGATTGCACAGATGTAATTAGTATTCAGGAAACCTAATAGGTATACACCAAAGATCTAATATGTATGCACAGGAGGTCAAATAAGAATATCAGATTTAAATTCAGGTTTCAGAAAATAATCATTTCTCATCATACCTCCATGTGGAAACATTTGATCATCTAAACAGAGATCAAAGACCTGATCATTCAGATGTTGAGAGGGTGTGCACGAGTACACCAGTCAATTAAGACCTACCAAATCAATCGACGGCAAAAGGGAGACTGATTGCAAATTTCCAAAATTATAAAGATCGTGAACATGTCGACGTATACCTGCGGTTTTTGAGTGAGAGATTAAAATTCTAGGATCCATCAGTAAAATGAATATTTCATCGCCTTAATTTATTTTGTACGTTAGGTAATTTGTGAAATAAAGCGTATCACTCCGTATTGTGATAATGTGAGTAACGTATTTGTGTTAAACCAAAATCGATTAGAAATTCGTGTCTGCTGGATCAAATTTCATGATGCATTTTGACATTTGTGCAAAATATTAACCTTTGGACATTTGTAATAATTGGTCTAAATTGTGTAATGGAGATAGAACGAAAACTTTTTATGTACGAAAATAAACTATTTATTTACTCACTAACCATACTTCACTACATTCACATACTCAAAAAACCAACTAAATAAATGAATTAAAAGTTTTTGTGAAAGACACCCGGCATTGTATATTTTATATCTACGCATATAAATACTTAATAAATATATACAAATAGTTGATATGGTGAAGAGCTCAGCTAACATTCTTGGAAGACTACTGCTTTCACAAAAAATGTTATTTTTATTACACAATCATCCTGAAATATGGTAACAGGATTCTCATCTTGAAGTCGATTGCAGAAAGATTGTCGGAAGTAGCTCTCATTATCTCTGTGACATCTTCTGTATCTTCCAGTCTCTACTATAAAGAAAAGTATGTTTTGTCAAATAAATGTGGTTAGTCACGGAATGATACAAATGCTTGTTTAATTTTTCCTAAAACAATTTTCGAGGTAAACGTTTATACTCGTAGCTTAACTAACACTCGGAGCTGGGTATTTTGTGGAATCCATTAGTTGCCACTGCTCAGGCGCCGGTGGGCATGGGCTTGAGGGAGGCCATGGAGGCGGTCCAGCCGGCCACCGACTCGCTGACGGTGAGGCGGCGCTTGCGCTGCGGGGCCGGCCGCCCGGCCATGCGCCGCTGGATGTCTGCGAGCGTGCGGCCGCGCGTCTCGGGCACGCACGCCCACACGAACACGAAGGCGCCCACGCACACGGCGCAGAAGCCCCAGAAGGCCGCGTGGCTGCCCACGCCCTCCACCACGTCCGCGAACATCTTCGTCACCATGAACGTGCACGACCAGTTGACGGCCGTCGCCAGCGACGCCGCCGGCCCGCGGATGTCCGCTGCAACAGCAATTAAGTCCACGTACCTTTTTACACCCGTCGGGCCGTCCCTTTGCAACGTACGCAGGTGCTAATCTGCAATGACATTTTACCTTAGATCGTATTCATTCATATTCAACTGGTGCGGAAGGCTTCGAAAACAAAAAGAGTGTAATGATACGAAGATAAGTGTGACTTTTGTCAATTTTGAAATACTTTTTTTCCACCTATGACATAGTTGCTCAGTTTTTCAAATTATTTCTGGAAATTCAAATAAAATGCATGATTGCATTACGATTCCATTCTCACACCCCTGCAATTTATTATTCTGAAATGTGTCTCGAGCTACAAATTGAGAACTTTTTTTTTTATTATTATTATTATTATTATTATTATTATTATTATTATTATTATTATTATTATTAATGCACATAAAGACGGCATTTAATCTGTGTGTGGAGAATTCCTTAGCATTGTTTTCAATTAGAACGAAACACATGCTTTGCATTGAAAAACAGTTGTGAATGTTATTGTTACGAATCAAAGAGCCTGCTGTCTTAAAACATGGTGTTTCATATCCTTAACTCTCCATAATCATATACATATTCAAGTCTTTGTTCTTTGGTTATTATTATAATCTTTTATTTTTGCTGATTTTTGAGAAACTTGAATTCGCATCACCACCTGTTGGGGGTACAACTTTGAATTATAAGGACTTTTAGAGGTCCATTTGGAAAACTTTATTATGATGTTCCTATTGCCTGTAAAACCTGTAGGTGCAGTAAAGCAATTTCGAAAAGGGCCAAATCATCCACGCAGGCGAGTTGTGTAGGGCGCCTACTCTGCGCGGCGCGCGGTTGGCGACGGCTTCGGCCGAGCGCCGCTCGCTCGACACAACGCGCCTCGCAGGCTGCGCTAGAAATGCTCTCCGCGTACTTCTACATATTTAGGGCTCTGAAAAACGTCTTGAATTTCTAATTTATTTAAATATTGATTGTTTTAAAAATGTATTGCAATAATTTGTTTTTGAAGCTTTGTTTTTGTGTACCTAATCTTTCAACAAACTCCACAAATTACCATCACAGGACGACCAAAGACCTGACTATTTACGTTCTGTATCCTGATATGGAACTTTCTTGCATGCCGCTTTTTTGATAGAACAGTCAAGCGCAAAAGGTCTATGTGAATCGCTGAGAACTGCATTCTGTATCTCCAATCTCAACAAATCCTTTTTAGTTATTTGTTATCTGTGACCGAGGTAGAGGAAGTCTTGATTATCAGAATTATCGTATGCGAACAGTCCACGCTTTCGCGTCAGGGAAACGCACGGATCCACAAAGCCGAAGATAACTTTAATATTAATTATGATTCTCAGTACCTAAGACTTTTCGGCCATGCCGGATCACTACAATAAGGGATGTTCGATGTTCGCCCGGGTGATATCTGCTATATCGTAGTCTCGTTTTTTAAGACAGTTCAAACACCGAGAAACCTCGCCAAAAGAATATCTAGTAGCCAATATGATTCCCAATATTATCTCAGGATGTGAGAATCATTCTGCAGATCAATGGCTTCTGCGAATTTTCAATAATGTTTAGAATAGTGCATGGCCACCAAAATGGGCAGCGTGTTGGGATTTGTAGTACAGTTACGAAATATGAGCTAATACATTGTCCTGGCACATCAGCGTATTGCGTTTTTACTCCCAACAAAAGTCTAGATGTCATTCAAGGCGAATATTCGCGATCGTGTTGCGCTATCTGCAATCCGAGATGGAGTGCCGAAGGAAGTTTTAAATGTCAGTAACGCGCTTCATTTACAGGTGATATAAAAAGAGGGATAAACACGAATCGAGCGATGTCATTGTAAATTCACGTAAGAGATGTATCGTCTTTTAGCTTATTTGCCACAGTATTATAACATTCAATGTGCTTGCCCCGCGTTGCAAAATGTCGAAAAAACCCTCAATGTGAGGAAACGAAGACGCAAAAACTGGATCACAGTTAAACATAGTTAATTGTGTTGTAATATACAATTAATAGATAATTGATTCAAATCTGAGCAGTCGTTCTAGAAATATAATATGAAAACATACTTCCCATTACACTCGCTTATACTTACACTTCATATAAATTTTGTTTCCAACTCCGACTCTCAAAGTGTCCTAATAACAATTTAGTTTGGCTATAATCTTCGTATGTTTCAAAAATCATTAAAATATGTTGAGACATCTAGGAGGAGTTCGCCGTCAAACATCATTACTATCATTTATATGCGCATGATTTGGGAGCTGTTATCACGAGCATACGTTTCTTCGTGATTTTCGATCATCCCCATTGTTATAATTCTCACGGTGCACGGCTCACATTGTTATAATTCTCACTCTATAGTTGAGATTCTACCACTTGAACTCTTCCTTCCAATTTGTGAAAGGAAATATTGTATCCCAAGTTACTGAATGTTTTCCAACCTCACCGGTCGGCCTAGCGCACAGCGGCAGCCGTGGCGTTTGGTGGACGGGTCGCGGGGTCATTGAGGTCGGCCTTGGATCGCACACTCCTGCAGGCGATGCCTCTCACCACCCCGCAGGCCTCCTTCAAGCTTTTGGCGGCTGCCGTTTGCACAACATGTCGCTCTGATTTAGGGGGACACGCTCGTTGGCCTCCGCATAAGGATAGCTGCTTATTGCCTTAAGGTCTTCCTCCCGACGAAGCACCGCTGAGAAACCGGAAAGGTCACTGACCTCAGAAGGACTGCAATGCCCGATGATCTCTACAGAGAAGATTTGGATGGAGCCTCACCACCGCTGCGGTGAAACTAATTGCACGCTAATTGCATGCGGTGTTTCTGATGGCCTCTACTACTCATAGCAGCAGTACATGTTCTTAGACGAAATAAAGTTTTTACCCAAAGCGCGGACAAGTACCTACTTGATTTCATTACTGTACTTACGGAAAACAGAGTTGCCACAGTACTCAAAGTAGCTTGTGTAAAATATCATGCAACTAATAGCATATACCATGTTTAATTGTAGAGATTCTCAAGCTTTTTTGTGTGCTGTGAAACGGATAAAGTCTCGAGTGGGGGGGGGGAGAGGGATTGCCCGCAAGGTATTGCTCAACTTCATACTTCCACACTAAAATCAAATGCTTGTCCGCATTTTATCAACGGTAAAATAGTTCGTGAGAAGAGTGAATATCCACTCTATTCTCAACAAGCAATTCATTCAGTCTCGAAAGGTAAGGATTTGTAATATTACGAGAAATTAGTTAGCGGTGTTTGGGAATAATATATCAGTTTGAACATGCGGAGAAGTGAATGAGCTAAAACTAGTGGTAATGTAGTAACATGATGTGATACAAGTATTTTGAATTTATGTCGCATATTCGATGCAGTGTTGCCGTCAGTCGTGTAAGCAGTTGTTTTGTTATTCACCCACAAGTTGTTACCTTTGTGATTAGGCAGCTTTTCAAGCTGCGTCTCGATTGAACGAACGTTTGAAAAGTTATCTTTTTCTGGTATTTGGAATATAAATGAGGTAGAAAATATCGCACGCTGGCAATGAAAAGATATTCCAGAGATGTAAGGTGCATAAAACATTGCTCAATCTGATTTTACGCTTTTGTTTAAAACTATAACATTTTAACTTAACTGTGTTGTGAAATCGTGTATAAAACTGTAGAAATTTTTTTTGTTTCCTGTCGCAATTATTTTCTGTACATTCCAACTAGAATAACTGTGTATTTCAGTTTGATTAATTGTGTGGTTGCGAGGCGCAGGAAGTTGATTTGTTTTCGTGCACCGTGTCCCGCGCAGCGGATCGGCATGGGAGTTACGGGTTGCCACCTCATAAACCCTTAACGAGGAGTTAGGAAAGCACGCTGGCTCTTTGCTTTGCTGAGCGGCTGTGAATACATTTGCCTATCAGCCTGACGAGCCTGCGCATTCATTTTCCTCTCTTCTCTCTCCCTTTCCCTTCGCTTCCTTTTCCTTCTTCATCCTGGCAGGACAATATATCATGAGTAAAACTTTTCATTTTTTCTTCTTATTCAATCTTTATTTGAACATCTTGAATGGAAGCTGAATGCTCGCGTAATTTATACACCTCTAGGAGTCCTACACACCTGAGATTTTGTATCCCCTTCACCCGAAATCTTAACAATACTTAATTTTTATTTTGAAATTTAAAACGCTTTATGTATTTTGTTTGTTTATTATTTTTTGCTTGAAGATTGAAATACTTCAGCCTTTAAGTTGGTGATTTAATCAATGTCGATATAAAAAATCTTTCCTGTCCAACAACGATGTTTTACAGGGATTTTCGAAAACAATTTTTATAACATATTAGAACGATTCCCGCAATCGTGAGGCTAATACACTTTATCCAAGTTAATAATGTAGAAGTTAATAATGAAATAAAATTATGTAATATTGATTTTTCACTCAGTTCAAACTTCAATAGTATTTATAAATTTAATTTTTCAAATTACTAAAAGTTCATGATGACTTCATCAATACTATAATGACGATACCTGCACGAGAACCTTCAAGTATGTTTAGCACAATATATTCGGATATGTGTTTTGTTGTTATGTGCATTTTCAATATAAAAAATCGTAAATTAAAAGTGTTTTTTTTTCATAGTTGTGAAACCGTTTTTCCTGGTTATTATTTTCCTTCAAGAGGAGTAACTTATATCCATCGAGTAATTTTATGCCCTGGTGCTTTCAACGCCACGAGTTATAGCTTCATGACGCAAACATCTTAGATTGGTCGTCACTAAAAATTAATTCTCCTTCCTCAAAAAGGTCACATTAAAGCATTTCGTCGTAAATACTGAGGCTTCTACCTATGGATTACATAATTTTTGCCTAGCATGATATCTGTTGAGTGTCTACCTACGTATATCGCGTGAGTTGCTGAATATCTCTCTTAAATTGTTGATACAATGTAAATAAAAGACTTGTTAAAAGCAGTTGCCTTTTAAAATTTATCGGCATTTATGAAACCAAGAATTTAGAGATCTAGAACTATATTATTCATAATTTGTTCCCTCGTGCAGAGAAGGATACGTTTCTGTCACATTGATTTTGTTGTGGTCTTGGTCTCAGTTTATTCAGTATGTAAATCAAGTTGATAGATATCCCCATAACGAGACCTCAGTAATTTATTTACGTAAATTATGCTATTAAGGACATTCTAATGTCACTGGAAAGAACTATATTATTGATTTCTCAATCACTCGTATCGTAATGTAAATGACGTATTGATTATATCACATGATGAAAATTGATATTAAACAAGATGGAAATGCCTAATTGACTTACGGCATTAGGTGATAAAATATACAATCACCGATACGTGGCATGTGACGATTTGGAGTTATGTAATAACAATCTTGATCGGTTATCGTATTCGAATACACGGTTGTTTTTGTCGAGTCAGGTGGCACATCCACACTAAGAAATTTACGCTTTATGCGAATCATATAGTGGTGTACGTAGGTCATTATGAGATGTGAGAGTTGAAATCTGCATTTTATCTGATTAGGCATTTTATTTAAACTTGATAAACTGGAAGTAATTCTTCACAAACTCCTTGTACTTCCTGTACAACAAATAGTCCTTAGAAATATAAATGTTTGCTATGATCTTTCTGTATTTCGGGTGTTTTTAAATATTGAAATAGAGTTTGTGGAAATGTATTCAATTCTAGCAGTTCAGCCATTACAACTACAAACTTACCAGGCGTCACAAATCTCAAATTCCATCCATCCGTCTGTCTATCTCAAATCTTAGCACTTCTAATGCCGGTTTTTTAAATTACTTTATTCAAAGGATTCTTTTCGAAGTTATTTGAAGTTAGAACGGAAATCTTCATTTTGAAATGGAAGATAACTAATTAAACTGAGGATTAAATATTTGATTATTAAAAGAATAATTTCTTCGACATTTTCCGTGAAAAATGTATAGAAAGCACCAAATTCGCATCTAATAAGCAAATTGCTACTGTTTATCCGAAGAATAGCAATTATTGCCAGTTACGAATGTCGTATTTTCAATTCCTATTTTTTTTCCAATTTTCCTAATCATTTAAGTTAATTACACTATTCAATTATGCCTTATTAAAGTCTTAAGTTTTTGCTTACATTTCAATGGATTACACTTCTTGAACTTACATATAGCTTGGCTATTATTATATTCCGTCTACATCTTAGTGAATTAATCAACACTAAAAACTGACGTTTTCTTCTAATCGCGCTAGCTAATCTTTTGTAAAATTAACTTAAATCTGAATTCAGATAAGAATTCAAGCCAACACAGTCTTAAATAAGCTTGTGGGAGAAAATGGCTCGGCTCTTGGTATTTTCATTCCATTTCGAGAATAATTCATATTACATACTTTCCTTTCCGTTACGCAAACACCTCATTCCTACCTGAATCTGATTACATGTAATATAGAAATAACAAATCATATAGATAAATCTTCATTCCTTTTTATATTTTTCCTGGAATTTCGGCTAAGGGATACTCACGTGGTAAAATTTCGCCCATCATGAGCCAGGGGATGGGCCCGAAGCCCACGGAGAAGCCCACCACGAAGATGACGAAGCTGACCAGCGGCAGCCAGCCGAAGCCGCTGACGTCGACGTCGGGGCAGGTGCTGAGGTAGAAGAAGGTGCCCAGCGTGGCGAGCGCCAGCGCCATGGCGGCCGCCGACGCCGCCAGCAGCACCCGCCGCCCCAGGCGGTCGATGAGCGCCGTCGCCAGCACCACGGCGCCCAGGTTCACCGCGCCCACCACCATCGTGCTCACGAACTCGTCAATGGTGCTGCCCGCGTCCTGTAGACCGACGCTGCATCTCAATACTGTTCGCGCTTGTGCTTATTACCGGAGACTTTTGTGATTTAATCTGTATTCAAGATACAGGATGTGTTGACAGAGAAACAAATTTTCCCTCTCGAATTCGCAACAAAAGGTCGAAAAAAGAGTGTTTATTATTGTTATTATTATTGGCGTATAGGCCATTTCTGACCTCCTACACGATTAACATGTGAAACTTTTCCAGGATCAACTTTTCAGCTGTATCCCTCAGTAGGACAAGGTTGTTACGCCTTGAAGTGCGAATTATGTGATGGTAGGGTGATGATGAGGGGTGAAGGGACGTTCACTAATACGACCATGTCTACGCAGGTCTCGAACCTACTGCCTCCTCTGCGCCATGGGGCCAACTTTATTATTATTATTATTATTATTATTATTATTATTATTATTATTATTATTATTATTATTATAGTAAGAATTCTGTCCATTTTTCTTTTGAAAAGAGAAAGTTCTGTCCACACACATTGTATTACGATTTTCACATTAAGTTGTTTTCTTTGCGACTTTAATGTTAATTTATCTAATTCGTTCTCTACGTGTAAGAAATTTATTGTTCAGCGTTGTGTGATGTGCAATCATTTGAATATTGCTTTTATTTGCATTTTCAGATTTCCTCAATTTTTGTGTCTGATTACGGAGGCAGAAATGGCATTTTTTTATTTCCGCGAACACAGCCCTCTCTCGCACAATCACGCAGCAGAGTGCTCGTCGTTTCTTTAACAGCATTATGAAGGAGAATCTGATATTAGGAATTTCCGTAGATACCAACAGAATCGTGTCCACAACCTATCTTGTGAATTCCCTACATTTGTAAAGCGAGTTATTTTATTTCCTGCCACTTACAAAAGTCAAGCAGTACATAGCGGCTGTTTATTGTTGTGTTACTTGTCCTAGCCTATATACCTACGTTATAATTATAATTAACCAGGGGCGGATCCAGAGACGAAATTTTTTGTGAGGGGGGATTAGTATGAATATGAAATATTACAGAAACAGAAGAAATGAAATGAAAAAATACAGAAACAAAGATAATAATCAAGGTAAATTATTTGTCACACTTTTAACAAAATTAAAATACTCCCTTTACTATTTAATGAATACTTTGTTTTTTAATTTAAAAAATAGTTATAATTTATTATTAAAATCATTGAATTCACAGCTGCAAAACGACGAAGCATTATGGTATTATATTTTTCATTCTGTGATACAAATGCAAGCAGATGGAATTTAAATAAAAACGCATATCTATTTACAAATTCAGCATTCACTTACATACAAACATTACTGTCCAAAACTTAAGAGCGTCGACAGGGTTTCCCAAAATATATCTCAAGCTTGTTTTACTTTTTGTATTAAATTTCGTTCTCTTTTCTTCTTATTCTTTTAGATATTTTCTTTCTCTTCTTAAAGTACCTATTACCCTGCCTTGTCCAGGTGCATGTAAGCGATCCATACCCTATTCTTTTGTTTCGGGCCCTCTGTAATTGCGCGAAATGTCATAGCAGCCCACGATCACTCAGTTGGCAGCTAGAGAAAGACCTTACTTCTTCAACATTGTTTTTGGATGCCACACTTCAATAATACGTGGAAGTCGCCGTGGTACCGCTTGTCGCAGAGTGAGAAAGAGATATGAGCTGTCGGGCGCCTCTGGAGAATAGTTCTCTCATTTTTCATACGTACATACCACTGAGCTAAAGAAAAGCGAGAATCAGGATTTGAATTCGTAACTGAAAGGCTAAAAACATGGCAGGGGTTACTTGATACATTTTAGACGTTTCTACAATGTTTTCATGTGTTTCAAATTTTTTCTCTAGACCTTTCTTTTTTTGGTTGGGGGGGGGGGATGTGTTCCCGTCGATTCGCCATTGCGAAAACATCAGTAACATATCCAACAGCTTGAGGTACCCATCTGAGCTTTCATACAAAATTGACGTAGTTTTTATTTTAAGGCATTTTAAAAACATTTTAAGAGTATTTTATTCATCTTTTTGGCGATGATTTTGGTCATCAAAATCCACCTTTCCCATCACAGGGATACTATGTAAATGCCCGACTGTGAGTCGAGTATGATGGGTAAATTAAGCTAGTTTTTTATTCAAAAGGTTTTGGTCGAATGTGTCATACTACACATTATGTAGGATGAGGCATGCTACACCCAGCTCATGCTGCTTATTTTATTCGATTTAATTACTACACAGGCATTCACAAAAATAGTTGTCTGTTCCATAGACTAAATGCGTGGGTCTCTAGGTCTGTTGAGGTGCTGAAACCGAATCTGGGTACGTTCCCTCCCTCCAGTCTCCTTTGAATCGCAAAACACAGCGAGGCATTTACAGTCTAAAAGCTAAATTTCACAGCTTTTTCGCGATTTAAAAACTGGAAGGTGATAGCGCAATTCTGGCCCCAGATTCGGATTCAGCGCTTCGAAATACATAGAGAAACAAGTATCAAGTCTTTGGGTCTGACAACTCTCTTTTGTTCTGTGTAGTTACTTTTGGGGGGTAAATTTCCCTCATTTCCTCCCCCGTGGATCCGCGCCTGACTTAACCTTTGCCTAATAGTGTCGTGTAAAGGAAATAACTAATGGATGCGATTCACAACCTGAAAATAGTTAAAATTTGTAAGTGGCGGGAAAAATGGAGGAAAATACTTGAGCAGGCAAGAAATGCCATGTTGTTGCGCATAATGAAATTTTCAAGAATCCTATTTTAGTTTCTGAGGCTGCACGCTCCTGAGCACGTGTATTGAAGCGATTGGGCGCTTGCTCGGCGTTTTGTAAGTCGTCCCGCAATCTTAGCACCTACTTCTGAGTCCGAACACTCATTAGCATCTGTGTCGGAGACTACACGTCGCTTGTCGCTTCGGTCGTTCCACGCCGTGCGAGGGGCCGGAGGCGACGGCTGCCAAGTGCTGCATCACACACGCACACGTCACGTTCATGCGTAGTCTTGTTTTCGTCCATTACTTGCCAAAGGCTTAACGCGACCGCGTGGAGGAACACAGTACATGGCACTATTGGCAATGATTCTGTAACTTTAGGTATTGTTTTATTACATTGTTTATTTATTGAGGTTCAAGAACGCTTCAACTGCTGAGGTCATCGAGGTCCTGAGTGATGATCTAATGAGATGATGTTAGCGACAATGATGTCATGAATGCTGGGGAAAAGGAGGAATGAGAGCCAGGGGAATCGAGAGAATCCCGAGGAATCGTGCTGAGAGTTTTCTTTGTCCCACAATTTCAGTATTCCAGGGACCGAAACTGGGCCCCACCTGCGAAAGGCGGCATTTCTGCTCTACAGACGCGAGACAACATTGAGCCATCTAAGTTGATAGAGAATGAGGAAACGTAAATAACGCCGTATTGACATGTGGACCTAAAGTCAGTAATTCAAGAATACATTGTCATGAAAACAATTAAATTCCTCATTTACCGCATTTAGTTAAAATAAATATAGTTCAACTTTGCTAAATTATAATAATGATAATAATAATAATAATAATAATAATAATAATAATAATAATAATAATAATAATAATAATAATACGTGTACGTATGGCCACTGCTGTACCTCATCTACTACGAGTGGTAGGAGGATTCACTGCTTAGGTGACTGAATCACTGCTTCTCGCCCGCTCAGAGTAGCCAACCTCAAGGCGCGGCAACCTTGGCACTTGCTATGGCTCTCCCCCCTATGGCTCAAACACTAAAGTAAAACATGCACTCGTGAGTTCGGCGTGTACTAAGAACTCGAATCCAAACTAGAACAGCCCATGAGCTCATACGAGGTAGCCGGTGGAGGGACCCAAGGAGGCGCCTAAGAAGCGTTCCCCCGTGTCACATAGAGGTGTCGGCTCCCTCACTGTAACTGGTGGGAGGCGATGCTTTTAACGCACGCCCTCAAGTCCCACGAAAGAGGCAGAAACGAAGAGAAGTCAAGTGAAGGACAGCCCCACACAGAAACAGTCGCAACCCGCGCCGCCTTAGCGACGTGTTTTTTGCGGCCATTGGGTGGGAGAGGCAGTTTGTTTAGCACCCCCTTGGCAGAGAGTGCGCGCGCGCTCACCTGGAAGATCTTGACCGTGTAGAAGATGACGGCGTTGATGCCGCTGAACTGCTGGAAGAGCATGAGGCCCAGCGCGACGCCGACGGGCCGCATGTTGTCGCGCGTGAAGAGCAGCGCCAGGCCGCTCTTGTCGGAGGGCGCGGCCTGCGCCTGCAGGTTGATGCTGGTGACGCTGCGCGGCAGGCCGATGGCGGCCTCGGCGCCCTTGCCCAGGCCCTGCTCGGTGGCGCGCAGCTCCTGCGCCACGTCGGCGCCCGCGCCGCCGCGCAGCCAGCGCAGCGCCGTCTCCGCGTCGCCCCGCCGCCCTGCGCACGCACGCGCGCAGCCCCCCAAATTCCATTTTTAGATTTGCTTAAACTCCATGCCCTTTCTAGTCCCCGTCACTGTGCTGATTGACCTTGTAGTTATACGGGTGTTAAAGAGAGTTTTTTTTTTTATGCGTATTTTATAACTTCGTCAGTCATCAAAGTCCAAGGACGACCAGTGCTCCGGCTCAAGTGCAACGACTGAAGCCGGATATCAAATTGTAAATCCCAGACTCCACTTGCCTCCTGAAGGGCAATTAAGTGCAATCGTTTAATTTTTTCCACCCTTTTGTTCTGTAATACTGCGGAAAATCGATTTCGAGATTTCAACAGAAATGCACACGTTGTGGGCCCTTGATACCAGAAAAGGTTTTTTCAAATCGTCAATACTAGCGCTAAACCATTCCTAAGACTTTCTCTACAATGCTTTCTCGATCGACCTGGTTTGACTCGAAGCTCTGGGAGTTTGAAATTAGTTCTTGAAATTTTGGGGTACTATACATGAAGGTTTTGAGGCAGTTTGAAAATCTTCGCAGAAATGGCTCAATATTTTTTCTTTACCTTTCTTGTAATAATAGAGTGATATAGAAAAATGCCCGAACACTTTCAAAGATGGCGTAGGTATGATTTTCAATCAAATGTCTCAATTTTCGAAAATTGCAAATATTTAACATTTTTGGGACTCCCTCGTACAACTACATTGTTGAAGATAAGATTTTTTCAAATAAAATTTGTTATCTCCAGTTACTTCTTTAATTAATACCCTGTACATATTTTTAAAACGATAACCAGTTTTCGGGTATTTTTAATTAAATATGGGTAAATTTAAAAACGAGCTTGTCTCAAAAACAGCTACACTTTTTTCTGTAAACATTTGATCCTGATAGTGTTAAATGCACAAAATTTCATGATATAAACGCCATTCTATTAATTTCTAAAAAATTACACAAATGTATTTTTAACATATTTTTCAGCTCATGAATGCATTGTAAAAATAAACTCAAGACCGTACATTTTCACAAATGCTGTAACGATATTTTCTCAAAAAGAGCTCTAAAGTTTTCAATGAAAATTTGCATATAGGCAAGGTTTTTCAATTTTTTATAATTCCTTAATATTATTAGTCATTGCAATTCCACTATTAGGGAAGCAGAATATTGAGTAAATGCAGAAAAATGTCTTTGAGGAGCCGATTGGTAACATGCGAGAAGAGGTATGGCAAAAGCGATTAGGTAGCCAAGACTAAAGAGATTAAAAAACAAAATAGTACAAAAAAGGCTGTACTATTCTGTAGCACGACAAAGTTTACAACTGTAATGTGTCTAATTGCAAGAAGAAGGAAGTAGAAACGTTTGCTGCAATGTGAGCTTCTGAAAAGCAAACGCATTGGCCCTTGCGACGCCAAGGAAATTCACGAGCTCCAGCTATGCGTTCTTCTTTCGCGAAGGACTCAACGTGGAAACGAGAGCAAAGCATCCACCGAGTGGGATTGTTGTGTAGAAAGCTTCCGTCATAAATCCGAGTCTGACGAATGGTGCGGGGCACACGCTGAACGCCGCCACGCCGCCGCGTTTGCTCATCTCCGCGCATGCGCATGCGCCTCGCTTGCGCTGCGTTTTTACGTAACGCTCGTAATATTTAACGAGCCAAGGTTCCATCGGGGAGAGGGAGACGGAGAATAGATCTCCCGTCATGGACGTTGGCAACAGGGCGACTTGCTGACGATATGTAGGTGTTTCGGTGACTCACAGCTCCTTGCTTTGTAACGAAGGTAGTTAACGACTTCTGCAATGTAGCGCTTAAGAAAATACTTTTTATTTTTATTTTTACTGATACTTTAGTGCTTATTATTGTGTTCTATACTGACCGTGATATACTTGTATGCTAAATAACATTCGTAGATCGAGACGGTCGTGGTTTCGAGGGAAATATGGAAACGATTGATGCTACACGTTCTCTAATGGGAGGGAAATAAGAAATGACAAACCGAGTCAAGATAACTTATAGTTGATTAGTAAATACGTAAATATGAATTATTAAAATTGGATAAAAAATAAAGTCGTGTATATACCACGGGTAACTGGTCCTAATATTCGCCGCGACAAAAATCCCGAAGGCCGTGGCCCGATCATTACATCCCTTCCAATGCCGTGGGGCTATAAATAACATTTTGTTATTAAATTAATTCACTGTATGAAAGTTAGAGCCACTCACAACCATTCAATCCTTTTTCAGCGGTGTAATTAAGATGTGGCTCAATATTTCGGCCAAAATAATTTTCATTTCTAGTTTGAATGCGTCGATTCTTTGTTAACGTTATATAATTGTACAGGAATATTAGACATACTTTTAAGTATTGAAATAATTCTGGGTGCTGTGCAGTGTTGCCTATTTAGTTTTAAGTATTTGCTAATGAAGTATTTGCTAGTGTTGAAAAATGCTTTTATGACCATCCTCCCTACTAAAACTAGGAAATGTTCAGGCCATAAAAGGTAATTTTGTGAAATGGTTAGATTTCACATTAAAAGCCACGAAGAGAAGTTTACTAAAATCCCTGTCAGTCTATACCAAATATTCTTATTACAACTATCCAAAATCTCGCAAAATCAAAGTTTTCCCGTTTGTATATCCTCATACATTCTTCCTTTTTACACCCACGGCAAAATAGTCTATTGTGTAGTAACTTTGACGAAACTCAACAAACATTTATATATGATGGCGCGTCTCATACATGTTTTCCCCATTCAATATCTCCGTCGCGGGACGTGCCCCGACTAGAAAACAGGAACTTTTTATTCCTTGCTCGTACGTTAGAGTGTCTGTGAAAGTCTGGCAAGTTTCACGAGGCATTGTCCAATAATCAATATTGTGCTTCTTTATTTGCAATACGATGTCCTGATTCTTCGATCCGTTTTGCACTTTCCTTTTGATGAACAATTCCCGAGTTTTAACGTCCGCATTTTTACGCTAAAACTCCAGAATCCTTCGTCAAAAGAAAGCGAGTTATTAAAAGTGTCTTTATTTTCTTTCACCTCTAGCTTCTACTTCATTTTTTTCTTTCTTGTTCTTTCTTCATTGTTTTTTACTGAAACATTTTTAAAACAAGTATGAAAATGATGGCTTTTGGCCATTATTTAGCGAAAACGTGTGTTAATAATGCTTTTTTCTATTACACTAGCTGCGTGCTTTACTTTGATATCGTGTTGTAGATGACAGAGAGAGAGAGAGAGAGAGGGAGGGAGCGAGAGAGAGGCAGAGAATTCGTTCACACATATGTCGCGTGGATGTGTCACCTTTCTAAGCGTGACGAAATAGGTGCTAAATTTAAACCCCGCGCGTTCATAGAAGCGTTACTTGGTAGTGCATTTGAGAATACGAGCAAGATTATTCTTATTTAAGAAAAATTACTCTGACGTAAATATAATCTCTCAAAATGAACAAGAGGGTTCAACAGACGTCCCAGCTTAAAAGTGGATTTTTTTACAGAAATGTTACTGTTCATCTTTGGCGTGCTCAACATGGAAGATCCAAAAATTGCGAGAAGAGCCTAAGGCAGCAAGATAGAGGGACTGAAAGGCATGAAACCTCTCATTTTACGGCCGCTTCGAAAGCCGCATGTCACGAAAACTAGTAATACTTCGTTTGTCGACCATGTATATTTTACTGTGTATCCTGCAAAACATACTTAGGCAAATTGTATAGAGGTAAGAAGCCATTAGTTGATCACTTGTGTCTTACTAAGGATATTGCATTGTTACGAAATGCATGACGCAATCTTAACTCCGGCGTCGTTAGCTGAAATGCTTAACTGCGCTCCGTGAAGTCACAAATGTTAAGTAATACGAGACTCCACGAATTCCCGAAAGGGTGGCCGTCTGGGAACTCCGGTTACTAACTGCGCCGAGTCCCTGGCCAAAGGTATAAAAGGCGTCAATATTACGAGACAAATGAGAATTAACTTAACGGAGTATTATTCCAATGTAGTCGTATGCTCAATGCCCCCAAAAAGCTAAAGAAACTTGCGCAAAAAAGACACAACTAATTAAAATTAAAGTAGACTTCATCTAGTCTCGTGCGAGACATAACTAAACTGTCATGTGTCAGCCTACAAAAACAAACGGGCCCCGAGAGCACGACCGACCAATATTGAACCATAACTCATCAAGAGACTACTGCCCATTGCCCTTTGCGTTAAGTCGCTTCACTTACCCTCGTAGTGTGCGTTCCCTATACAACTTAAATTTTATTCAAGATTAGCCTGGATAACATATTTTGCTTCAAAAGTTTTCCAGTCTCCTTTGGGGTTGTCATTTCTGCGATCAAACATATTTACAATTTGGAACTTTTATTGCCTTGATTTCCTCTCATCTGATTTTAACCTTAAGTTTGCATTTCCCTTCATAGCTCCAGATTGGTTAGTTGGTTTATGCTAAAAATTGATCGAAAGAACATCGTTACAACCGTCTGTAGTTTTGGTTATTGTTGGCCGTTTCGCATTCCGCTGAATAAATGAATGTTGAAACTTCATATTTTGTAAAATTCTAGAATTTATTCAACCCCGGCGTTAGTTCAAATTATTAAAATTATCCCGCATTACTCTAGTTCTTTTTAATTTCAAAATATACCTTTTAAAATTGCAAAAATATAAAATATAAGTAATCAATTCAAAACCTATTCAAGTGATTTGTCATCTATTAAAATGTTTGCTCTTGTCTGTTATTTTTCTATGAATGTTTGTATTTTGGTTTTATGTTCGGGTATTCCATACACTGTTTAGTAGTTTATTTACGTACTGCTCTTTATAAACCATCTTCCATATCTGTCATTACAATTTGTATTAGCAAAAGGTTTATCATTCGTAAATTTAAAAAGCATTGTGTATTTTTGTCTGCGAATGTCGTCGTAAGTTTAGAAATTAAATCCATTAATTAAAAGATTATTAGAATATTTTTTTTTGTTGTAAGGGTATTTTCCCCTTAATACATACTTGTTTGTAACCTTACTCAGTAATTAGCTTGCGTTTAGGGATTTATGTAGTTCAACATACATATTATTATTATTATTATTATTATTATTATTATTATTATTATTATTATTATTATTATTATATTATAATTTTCAGATCTTTCAAAAGCTTTTGACGTCACTTATTATAACATTTTACTTCCAAATTTACCTTCGTATGGAATTCGTGGTATTGCTCTAGATTGGTTACGTTCGTACCTTAAACAACAATCTCAGAGTGGAGTTCCGCGGGGATCGATTTTAGACCCAAGTCTCTTCCTCCTGTACGTAAACGATATGCCCTCGACGATTCGAAATAGAAGAACAGTTCTCTGTGTGGATCATACGAATATTCCTTATAAAGAAACCGTAAATAATACAATATCAGATATTTCAAATTGGTTCTGTAATAATAAATTAAAAGTAAATGAAAAGAAAACAAGTTCCAATGCAGTTTTCCATTTCAAATAAACAATTCCGTACATTGAAAATGAACGGTGTTCCATTGACTAATGTTAAAATAACAGTATTTTAGGTCTTTCAGTTAAGTCAAGCCTTAAACGGAACGTCCATTTAAATGAATTGAACACAAAATTAAGTTATGCTACGCCTTCAGAATTCTTGTAAATTCGGTCAGCCTTCATACTGCTCGGTGTGTATATTTCGAGAATGTATATTCCCGCCTGAGATATGGCATAATAGTGGGGAAATACATCTTATAGCTCCCAGCCTTTTTTTTTTTTTACAAAAAAGAATTGTACGAATAACACTGGTCAACAGTATAGGTGTTGTGGTGTTATACCTTTGGCATTTTTCATAAAATAATTAAAGACGTCATTGCCAACAATATTATTTAATGCAATAGCAGCTTTCGATGGCTTAGCCATCGAATGATGACAACTGATGATGATGGCTAAGCCATCGAAAGCTGCTATTGCATTAAATAATATTGTAGGCAATGACAACGTCTTTAATTATTTTACTGGTCAACAGCATATTTGTAAAACGAATATGAAAGATGACCTTAGCTACGTCTTGGACACTGATTTCGAATATTGAATCAGATTTTGCCTATCGGACTCAAGTTTTCTTGGGACTCCTTATCTATGGAAATACTTGAAAACGCTGCGTATTGGTTATAATGGTTTGGTTCATTTAATTATTTTGCAGATGTAAATGTTTAGGGTCGCTGTAAATGTGTGCAAGAAATTTCCATACATGACACTGAATTCAGAAAATTGACCTCTAAGAAATGCAAAAAGGTTTGGCAACATTGCTGGTTAAAGGGTTCACGACATATGCCCTTTTCCGTTCCCATAATTTGTAGGGAACCGACGGGTCCAACAATACTCATATTTCTGTCTGATAAAACTAGCTGGAATCACCTCAGAAACGAAGAAAACTGCAATATCGAAACAATCTTCTAGTAAGTCTATAAGTGTGCTTGTGGTGCCAGTAAGTCACAGTGAATTGCCGGCACCACAGCCTCCTGAGAAGTGACAGTGAATGAAGATGAATGCTCATTTACTGACGAACAGAAGACAGAAGTGATATTCATGCTAACCCAACATTTCTAGTCTCCCGTGACTCAAATGAACCCCCATATTTTTTGTCCCAATAGCGTCTCAACGATCTTGTTTGTGATTTAAATTTGTCGAAGCAACAGTCTGTGTTTTTAGCTTCGCGACTAAAAATATGGAGTCTTCCTTCCGCTTGCACGAAAGTGGTGTTTCTTTGATCGCCGCGTGATACTTATTAAAAATATTTCTCCAACAAAAGTTACATAACTTTTTGTAATGATATCAATTCTGATGTGAAGTCCCTTGACCGTAATTTCAATGTAACAGAATGCCGCTTCTTCATAGATCATAACAAAGTAACTCTTAAAGCAGTAATTCATCACAATGGGGAACATTTTCTTCTGTTCCGATTGTCAATGCAGTTAATCTAAAAGAGACATATGCGAACTTTAATCTGCCCCTCACACTTATCAAATATGAGAAATTCTTACAAATGGAATACATGTGGAGATTTCAAGGTAATTGCAATTATGTTCGCAAATTAGAAAACTCACGGCTGAAGAAGATTTCGATGATTTGATGAATGATGTTGAAAAAAGTGTGGTTGAATGATCATTTTTTGACAACCATAAGGCTGAAAACTACCGCGATAATGTACGTAAATTATTGATATCATATGGGATGTAACATTTTATTCAAACTACATTTTTGAATGATCATTTGGAAATCTTCATGGATAACCTCAGCGCCTTTAGTGTCTAACATGGCGTTCTAGCAGGACATTTGTGAAATGAAAAAGCGTTATCAAGGTAATTGGAGAGACGCAATGTCGAACTACTGCTGGACTTTACGAAGATTCGTTCCTGAGTCCAAGTATCACAATAAATCGGGAAGGAAATACTTTTGGGAATTTTTGGTCACTTTTCGTAACAATAACATTGTTATATTTTTTTACTGCCTACATTTGGTTCTGTTGTTATTAGAACGTGTCATTTTGCCAGTAACAATACATAGGGCGACACGCATTTATTAAAACTATCATCACATTGAAACTGAACCCGACACCGATATTCTGAAAATAGATCTGGATTTAGAGCAAATTATCTTCCAGCAACAGAAAAAAATAATTTTTTTGTTGACCAGTGTAATAAGCAAATCCTACCCACATGATTCTTGCAGGTTTTTTATTATTATTATTATTATTATTATTATTATTATTATTATTATTGTAGTTGTTATTTGAGTATGGGCCATTTCTGACCACGAAACACGTTCTCTTCCGCGGCTGAGTTGTATTCTATCCCGGAAAAATTAACGTGTCTCATTATAGGGATCAGCTTTTCGTCTGCATCCTTTGGTAAGACAACGTTGTTAAGCCTTGAGTTATGAGGTGATAGGATGATTATGAGAGGTGATCGTTAGCTTTTTGAACTATCCGAGCATTCGCCTGTATGTCCGAGGGAAAGCACGAAAAGTCCGGTCAGGGTGGCCGGCCCGGGGATCGAAACTGGACTTCCCGATTGCGAAGACAATGTGTTACGCACTCAGTCACTTCGCTCGGTATTATTATTATTATTATTATTATTATTTTCGATGTACTTTTACATATCTGATATTGCAGTATTGAGAAATTCCATGAGATTATAAAGTTGAATTATATGTCGATATTATTACTTTTGTTATCTTCTTACCAAATTATTCCACGTCATTATTGTACCTTTAAATAAAATTTTATTCGTTTTGAGTGAAGCGTGTTTCAATATCTGCTGCTCATTAGTGTTTGGGCTAGTTCAACCTGTGCTCATCATTAAAATCTCTTGCATTAATGGGGAACTTTTTTTTATATCTGACATAAACTGCAAGATTATGCATTCGTCTTGGTCATCTTTCTTTTCTGCTTACACATTTAACTAATATTTTTCTCATAATTTTCTGATTTGTGCTCTTATGCTTATCCTAAAATGTATGCATTGCTTTCTTTTAAAAAATGACGGACATATAACAATCTTACAGTCTGTATGTTGGTCGTTCGTTGCATCGGAGCGTGCTCACCTTTGGAGAGGTACCAGTGCGGCGTTTCGGGGGCGAACATGGTGCAGAGCCCGTACGGCAGCGAGCACAGCGCGCCCATCATGGCCAGGTAGCGCCAGTCGAGGAACTTGCCCAGGACGAAGCACAGCAGAATGCCTGCGCACACGACGAAGGCGTTCCGACACAATTCACTCCAAGTATCACCGACTGACCTAGATGAGTGATTCATAAGAGGGAGGAATGCAGTATGTGCCGAAGAGCGCCTGATTTACTCCTATGAAAGGTGCCAAACCGGACGTCCCATGTTTGCACATTATGCGTTTGATTGTTCTTACGGACACGGCTCCTTGCAAAAGAATTAGTGGAGGTGGAGCAGTTGGTTCTGTGATTTAATGCCTCTGGAATTTTACTTGGAAGGTTGTTGAAATCTAACAATAAGAGTCGGCGATCATCTTTCCAATTTACCTCCTCCGGGACGTGGTCCTTCACTGCTATAACGCGCTATAATGGCAAGAACGCGCGTGCGTCATTTCTCGATGCGACTCGAGACGCACTGGAACGGGTCATTTTCTTTTCATTGATAGGATTTTCTCTTGTACTCGTATAGGCATGCTTTCTCATAATCCACCTGTGCAAAAGTTATTGTGATGCATCGATGTTTCGAACGAAAATATTCCGGAATGTGTGCACAATGGGCCAGTGGATAGAAATGCAATGTACCCTTGTGATATGTTGCATGTGTAGCGAAATAATTATGGGAAACTTCCAGACTTCCAAGTAAAATTAATAATGGTCTCACGAAAAGAATGCTTTGCAATGTACAAAACACACATTTAAGAAGCTCAAAGTCTAAAAATTCAGTTCTTCCAAAAGAAAAAGTATTACATAAAATTAAGAGAATGAGAAACACGGATTGAAAATAAAAGTTGCCTACATTCTTTTTGTTTTTTTAAATAAAAGAACCTGATAATGTGGGCTTCGCTGATATCACGCTTACCGATGTTGCCTAGTGTTGTGGAGATGAGGCCAAGCATGCCTCGCACCTCGGGCTGAATGGTCTCGCCCATGTAGACGGGCAGGCTGAGGGACGTGACGCCCACGCAGAAGCCCGAGAGGATGCGGCCCGCGTACAGCATGCCCACGTTGCTCGCGCCGAAGATGAGAAGCCACGCTGCACGCGCAGGGAAATGGAAATTACCTTCGCGTAATATTAATCCAGTGCTATTTTGTTCGTTGGTGCAGTTGATGTTCATTGCTACACACATCTTTCTTTTTGCCCAATTGATTTAATACTTTCAATGTGGGTGCCTATATCATCTGTGTTCTTTTCAAGTTTGCTTTCACTACGTCATATTGGCTGCATATTTATCACCAATGTTTATTTCAATGTTGACAGACCTTTAATACCATTTTAATTAGCTACTCTTTTCTTTCTTTCAGGTGAGTACTGTTGTGACTACTGCTGCGTGTGAAGTAGTAAGTATACGTTTTGAAGTGCAGCCCCTTTTAATATTTAACTTTGGAATCTGATCGGTGTGCATTAAACCGATTTAAAAGAAAACATTTAGGTTTTTATGAATAAATGCCAACAGCTACTAATAGTACGCTGCAACACACGTTCCCACTGTGCATAATGTAAAACGATGCGGTCTAGATTTTTTGTGCAATCCTGTCTTCTCACATATCAAGGGATACATTCATGTTCGTTTTCTGCGAACTCCTATTCCGTTGCCTTGGTGCTCAGAATAGCTCACTCTTTCAACATCCGTGTAATTTTAAGTTGTATATTTTATATTCTGTGTAATTTAATCGCAAAGGTCTAATCGTTCCTGTGTGTTAATCAACACTTAGCAACATTAGAGTGTTTACTTTCACACACTGCCAGGCCCATATATTTCTGTATTTATTTGATGTTAACAACTGTATTAACTGTTTGTGAATTTGTGGGGAGGGGAGAGAGAGAGTGAGTCAGTGAGAGAGGGAGAGAGAGTGAGTCAGTGAGAGAGGGAGAGAGAGTGAGTCAGTGAGAGAGGGAGAGAGAGTCAGTGAGAGGGAGAGAGAGAGAGTCAGTGAGAGGGAGAGAGAGAGTCAGTGAGAGAGGGAGAGAGAGAGTCAGTGAGAGAGGGAGAGAGAGTCAGTGACAGAGGGAGAGAGAGAGTCAGTGACAGAGGGAGAGAGAGTCAGTGAGAGAGGGAGAGAGAGAGAGTCAAGTGGAGAGAGAGGTAGGAGAAGAGAAGTAGGTGTCGAGAGAGGGAGGAGAGAGGAGTGTCAGTGAAGAGAGAGAGAGAGGCAGGAGAGGAGAGATAGTCAGTAGCGGAGAGTCGAGAGGAGAGAGAGTGTCAGTGAGAGAGGGAGAGAAGAGATGTCAGTGAGAGAGGAGAGAGAGAGAGTTCAGTGAGAGAGGAAGAGAGAGTGTTCAGTGAGAGAGGCGAGAGCAGAGAGTCAGTGAGCAGAGGGAGAGAGAGAGAGTCGTGAGAGAGGAGAGAGAGAGAGTCAGTGAGAGAGGGAGAGAGAGACAGAGGGGAAAAGGCTACATATCACGTTCGGTAGCAAATTAAGGGGCTATTTCACCATTTGCTCAATCGAGAATGAAGGGAAGAAAAGGGCATGGAAATGAGGGAATCGATGCACAATTTGATTACAATAGTCATACACATATTCGGTCTTGTAGAATTGTAGGATCGAAAGATAAACATAATATAATGCACAGTTTAGAGTCTGGCCGTTCGAAGTTGAAGTGTAGTAAAACACTACTTTCATTTTTAAAAATTTACAAAACTCATCCCAAAGTGTGGACTGTTCGTACGTGTCAAGCCAGCCAGCTTCATATGTTTTCCGTTGTTCCTTGATTACAGAAGTGTAGATAATAAACTTTTACTTCTGCTTTAATATGACTAACATTTCAAAGTAGATTTTTTACTCCCAATGTGATTGTCCACTTGTTCACTTACCAATGGCGGACGGCGGCGCGGTGGCGAGGATGGTAGTCTTGCGGCCCAGCCACTCGATGAGGAAACCGCCCGCCATCCCTCCGAACAGCGCCGCTGCCGGCATCAGGCTGCCCACCCACGAGCCCTGCGCGCGCACAAGGCAGCCTTACAAAGCGCTCTACACTGCAGGGAGTGTTGGTATTGAATTCAGTCGAGCTTATTACTGTCAACTCAGTGAAATATCATACTGGTATACCATTCTAAGTAACTTGGAAATGCGGCGTCCTAGATCCTTAAAATACTTTTTTCGTGTTCCTAACGAGACCCCAATGGTCTTTTAATCTGTAATCTACAAAAGATGCGAAACGATTGTGGGGTTGCGCTTCGTAGGTACACACACACTCGCTCACAAAGATACAGGCACTCACATTCCGTAAAATGTATTATCAGAAATATTCAAATTATCAAAACCTTCCTTAAATTTAGTTGATTTTTTGTTGTTGTGTGCAATTTAATCGTAGTTCATGGCATGGCCGTCCACGTTGACGCTATTTCCACTTTTAAAACACTGATGTAGAAATTCTGCAAAATTTGCGAGGATCGAACTAGTTTATTTTATCGTACATTATTTGCAAGATTGTGTTTTAATTTATAAACTATTTGAAATGAAGTACATATACAGTTTTGTATTATTCGTGATAATTCTACCATTTTCTCTGGAAATGTATTGAACCCGAGACTAACATTTAAAATGTTCATTTATTTTAAATTGGAATTTACATTTCAACGTTTTAATTTACATTTCAGCGAGAAATGAATGCTTGCAGTCACTTGTAGGCAAATAGCTCGCCCGCAAGTGTAAGACAGTTGCCCGTTGCCTTGGGAAGCCTGATCTTATGTGGGACTGTTATTAATATTAAATACACGATAATTAAGCGGCAGGGATGGTGTAACTTCAAATCGCTTGTTTCGCCGCCCGAGTGATGTCGCCTTTCTCCGCTAGAGGGTGAAACGAGCGTAGCGAAATTTGCGTTGTCAGACGGAAGAGGGGGCCTGTTGGCCCGAGTCTCGTCATGTGAAAAAATTTATCAATTCAATTCAATAAATGTAGGCGAGTCAAAAAAGTCATAACATCTTTCTGAACGTGGTGCATTGAACATCGTCTGTCTTCACAGTTGTTGGTAAAGTCGGGTGCTACCTAGTAAAATAACTTTCCCCGTCGTTTAAGGAGATAGTGAGAATTTACTTTTTTAATTATCTACTGAATTTTGACTTATGAGACCAACCATCTACCATTTTGGAATCACCTACGAAAGTTTGACTTAAGAGATAGAACTTAAAAGATTTCAAACATGTGCAACTCTTCACATTCAAACGAATATATTTTAGAAAATAAATGTTTGTCACATAGGTTGCGTCTTTTTCCTTGTTTATGCTGAACGTCGGAGGAGCATGTTTCACCCGAGAGTTCAAGGCGGTTATGCTGGACGACATCGGCCCTCGCACTTCACTGTTTTTACAATGCTCACATAGAGCGCAGCTTCATCACTTTGCTATTTTCTAACAAAAAATTAAACAATCTGAGCCATTTTTTGAAGGAAAAAATCTCTGTACGAGGGGCTTTACGGAAAGAATCCTCTAAAAATAAAAATAAGTTTCAAAATACGCTTATTATCCAGGTCGATCCGGGAATATCCATTTTAGTGGAAATTTATTACTGAATAGGCGCTAGGCTAGTTTTATTCATGGAAGGAGAAACGTTTTTAGAAAAAACATTTTTTATCAAGGATCCCAAACACATTTTTTTCTATCGAAAAATCAACACCTTTTGCAGCATTACCTAACTTTCTCTTTCCACCTAGTTTATACAAAAAATCAAAAACCATTCATTTAAAAATGATTTCCTCTTGTTTCAAATCGACTGGTCGTAGTGCGCAGCCGAATACGTACATGGTGCAACTATTTTTTCAGCCCCCGTTTCCTTTGACCTTAGTTTACATAAGATATACGTTACAAGTAAATAAATAAAACCTATAGCGACGACGATATTATACCTTTAATGGTACCTCAATAAATACAATTGATTTTATCGTAATCCATTTATAAGGCACACACGAACGCAACATACGAAATAGTATATTTTATTATGTAAGACTACGTGGGCCTTGTCAATATTTGCAGACCCCCCCCCCCCCCGCAGTACGCACGCATTATGCACGTCTCATAAAATGGAATACTCGATAAGTGACTTATTGCAGTGTTAGTTTCCATTTTCATCTGTGACGTTGGCCTTGATGAAAATGATACGACGTGCATAATTTGCCTAGGTTACTTGGCATTTTATGTTCGCTGGCGAAGAGGCAATTTGGGGGTCAGTGCACGGGACCTTGAATGGTTCTGCACCTCTCTCTCTCATGCATTGTGCAGCAATCATACTCTTTTTTTTCTTTCTTTCGTAGAACGTGTTTGCTATTTTGCTTTGCGCCATTACATTAGATAGCCGAGTCATAGTACTTAACTCTTTCCAGTTTGTAAAAAACAAGCATGAAGATTCGAAACGAGACGCAGAAGGAATTGATAGGGATTGCCGTGCAAAATGCGGTTCCCATTTTCGCAAATAACTAAATTCTTCGTATTATGCTAACGAAATATAATGAAAATAGAAAAATATTTAAAAGAATGACAAACTCAGCGCCAGTACTAACAGTTTCTGTTTCAGGGAACTTTAACCATTTACATATCATCAGTTAAATGAATATTTTTTGTGACGTACCTTATCAGCACTTTTCATTTCCTTGAACATTACAGAAACATTTTGTTGATAGGAGGAATAAATTATGAAACTTCAGGTATTGAAACGTTTAGAAATAGAAATTTCACGAGGATTGTTACCTTTTGTGAATAAAACTTTTTCTATATTCTTATTTCAGTAAAAAGAAAAAAGAATCATTCTTCCTGCTCTTTGTAAAACCTGTGTGTGCTAAGAAAGTTTGGTACCGTTTTTTTCATCTGGTTCGGATCCAGTATGAAAACTTGTAAGTCAAAAAAACTTATATTGCTAGACTTATGAAACACACATCTTTAAATTCCCAAATGATCCAAAATGTTGACCATATGTTCCGGATTGCGTCATTTTCCAAGCATTCGAGAAATAAGTCACATAAATTCGATCTCATAAACAAGAAGCGATTGGAAATACGGTATTTACTCCCTGCCAAATTGGTAATGCCTGTACGAATTCATAACTTGCAGGCCCAGTTGAACGCTTGTTATTTGATTAGAGCTTCCGGGCGCGTCAACTGCTAAGGGCATTCGTCCCGTAGGCGTAGTGCATGTGTCTCCGGTGGCTGGCCGACCTTCCGTTCGCCGAGCAGGGTTTTCCCTCAACGAGGTATCTCCCACCAGCTCCGGGACAAGCTGTAAGCTCCCAATCGGTCTCCCGACAAGTCTGAGAGTGTAGTGAATGTGAGTGTTTGTGTGTTTGTAAGCGGAAGTAAACATCGCGCTCGGTCCGTGGCCCGAGTTATTCCAGCTATGGAGCTAGTGTGGAAAGTCTTGTGACCGTCGGGACTCGAAACTAGGACCTCCCGGTTCGAGGCCCTGAGCCACCTCTCCCGGTTTGTTATTCGGTGGGTAGGAAGGGGAGGGGGCGTCGGTCGCGTGGTGCGCGTGTGGGAACCCGTGGCCCCGGGCGTCGTCCTTGCATAACGCGCCCGCACGTGCGCCTCGTGAAGACACGTGAGCGCCGCGCCGCGTCGTTGCGGCGCAGTAGGGCGGCTGCGCGAGGGCCGGGCGGCGGCGATCGCGCCTTCCCCGTTGACCAATGGACGCGCGCCGTCGCCACTTGCGCCGGGGGTGTGTCCGCGCTCCGAGGCAATTGCGCCCATTTGCCGACCGCCTCGCCTCGCCCCGCCACGCCGCCCAATCAACCCGCCACCCGGGCCTGCAAGGCTGGGAGCGGAGGCGGCTGCGTGCCCTCCCGTCAAACGGATCGACGCTGGCCAATGCGCTGATAACGCGTGGAAACTAAACCCTTGACAGCCACTTACCGTGCGGCCCTGGGATTATTTGAAATAATGTTGCTTCAAGAAACAGACAAACGAATTACTTTATTATGATTGTTAATCGACACTCAACCATCATTGTTGTAATTGAATATACTTATTGCGGGTTTATACTGCGTTAAGCTCATAACGGAGTAGGTCA